ATCTGTTGACCCCAACAACATCAACTAGGTCTTTCAGGGCTAAGGAAGAGTGGGGAGGGGTCTGGAGCCCTGGTCTGGCTTCAGTTTCATTCATTTGTGTCAGTGGTAGCCTCAGGTTCGGTGTCTAAGACTTCCTCACAGGAAGGGAAATCATAATGTTTAACCTTAGCTTAAATATTAGATACAGCAGACTGTATTTTGTAATCTAAAAAATATTTTTGAAAGTTTTTATTTTTTAACAGGGTCTCACTATGTTGCCTAGGCTAGCCTCCAACTCCTGGGCTCCAAGGATCCTGCTCAGGAAGCTGGAACCACAGGTGTGTATCTTTGTACAGAATTTAAGAGCTATTTTGAACATGCCTGAACCAGGAAGGGTCAGAAATTCTCTTTCAGGCTGTCTTCCAGAAGGAGATGTTGGGAAATGCAACTTAGAGCTCTGGATGCAAATGGTGCTTGCTGGTTCAAGGTTCTTGGTTTACTTTGGAAGCAGAACTCTCCATTCTGCTTTCAGACAGGGCTACATGATGCTCACACCTCTGGCTCAGGTGTGTGTCCAGGGCAGGTGGTAGCCAAGCAGGGTATAACCTATTAGTGGTCCCACTCAGGTAGCCTGACTCAGGCAGCAATGGCTGAGCAATGGCTCATGGGTGCTAAATTCCTTTCTACTTGAACTGTTTAGAAGGATCATTACTCCTGTATCAAATACCTCCAAAGCAGGAGATTCTGAATGAAAGGGTGTTGCAGTTTGTCAGGGATAGATGGAGAAGAGAAATTTGTACATCAAAACCTTTTCTCTGTCTCTGTGGCACTTCTGGGTCTTGGTCTATGTGGAGTCTCATTCCCTGAGGCATTGTACCACTGATATAGGGTGCTGCTTGGATGACCTCTGTCATGTGATGCATAGACACTGTGGAACTGAGTGACTGTTACTCTTCAAAGAAGGGTGAGCTTGACTTGGAGAACTGCAGGGATGTTTTGTAGGGACTAGTGGTCAATGCTACTGTGTACAACTTAGAAGTTGCTCGTAGACAAGACAATTTAAATAAGTGGTGGGCTCTGACATGGGAGGGGATGTTCGCTCCTGTGAAATGACCCCACAGTCACCTATTCCTAAAAGCAGTGACTTGGAGCAACCTGGAGTGTCGATGTTCTTGCTCCTGGAGCCACTCTTCTGCTGGCACTCCACTCGGGGCTGTAGGAGGTTGGAGTGTAGCTACCAGCCAGGCTCACACAGGTCACACGCTTCACTCTGGAACCTGGCTGAGCCACCTTGAAAAACTGAAGATAGTTGTAGCAAGGAGCAGGAGTTCTAGAGGAGGTGGCAGAAGGAGAAGACTGCTGACCCGTTTTCTTTGCATGTGAAGGTCAATGCAGGAGAGAAGGATCCTAGCTGAGAACAGTCATCCTCAGTGGTGGAGGCTAATCCCTTTACTGAGAGCATGCCAGGGCTTTCGTTTGGAAGAGCCACATTTTTACAGCCTAGGGTTCTGGGGAGATCAGTCAGCCTGTACTGTGTCCCTGTGCCCCAGGACATCTCTGGAGTATGGATGTGCTTGATTCTTGGCACCAGAGGAAAAGTATAAGGCAGGGTTGGGGGTGTAACTTAGCTGGGGAGTTCTTGCCTAGGGTATGTGAGGCCCATGGTTTCACTCCCCACAGTGGAGAGAAGAAAAAGCATGAAGTATGTAGCCATGTGAGCTGGAAGAAGTATAGAATAGAATCTCACTTTTAGGCTCCTGGTCTTGAAAAGTGTTATTGAATGGGGGCCCATGGGTCTGTTAGGAAATAATCCCTTTCCACAGGGAGATAATAAGAGGGCAGCAGAGCTGTAGCCCACAGAGCGTGCCCACTGAACAAAAGCACAGAGCTTACATATTTAAAATTTGTGCTGAATGAATTTGTTAGGAATGGAATTCGTGGATCTGCTAGGCTGAATTCTAATTTTACAGGTAAAGAGACTTGGGCAGGGACATCTGTTCCCCCATGGGGAACACTTCATTCTACTTTCTCAGGGCCTGGATGACATGCTGACCCAGGCTGTGGCAGAAAGCCTTGGATCTGGCCCATTAATCACAAGGTAAAGGCGCTAAGACCCCTGTGTGTATTCTGGGGGCTACCCACAGCGGGTGTGGAGTGCCTATTCTATGCGTCTGGAAAAAGAGACACAGTGGTGGCAGGACCATGAACTCTGAGTTCATGAGAACCTTTCTTTTTTTCTGGATTATTACTTTAGACACAAACAAAATGGTAACCTTGAGCTTGGGCCCCATCTATGACACACAGCCCTTAACAGGGACACTCACCACTGCATCTCTCTGAGTTGGTGGGTGTAGAAAAACTGATTAGAATGAGAAAGTGGCACATTTGGCATACACTTTCCCTAATTTGAACCAGAGACAAGTCAGCATAATTGCTGAGACCCTTCCATAAGTGGGTTACAGTTAACTGCCCTCTCTCACAGCTTCAAGGGCTCCTTAAAGAGCCCTGTGCAGCCTCTAAGACACCACCAACCTTTGTGGCTTCATCCCAATAGGCTTTCCGGGTGCAGCTAGGAGCTGTCCCCCAGCCTTCCCTAAAGATTCCGGGAGACTCTGAGAAACTGCTCCATCCAGGATCGCCTAAGTAACTCAGGGTTCTGGAGACCAGGGCAAGGCAGGCCCCTGCTTATAGAGAAATTTCTGGCAGCAGGTGATCCTCCTAACCGAAGAGCCCTCCCAAGGTCTCCCTTGGAGCCTGCATCCGGTGAGGAAAGGGACGGGCTTCTCTTGCTGATAGGCTGGCGATAGGACAACAGGCCAGTGGAGCCAGGGCTGACTCAACAGGATCAGGCACTGGAGTGAAAATTCCTTTTTTGGAAGCCAGGCAGTGGCTTCCCAGAGGGTAGGATTTGGGGGAAGTGATGCAAGTCCAGCAGAGGGGGAGGCGGAGCTTGAAGAAATTCAGAACACCACCCCTCCTGGCCACACCCCTTCCATTTTGGGGCGGTTGCAGAAGGTGGCTCCCGGCTCCTTTTATAGGGTTGAAATGGACAGAGCTGCGTAAGTTATATCTTGAAAAGCTCCTCCATCTCCAGCCTCATCTCTTTCTAGAACTGAAACAGAAACTGAGGACCGACACTAATGGTCCCTGTTCCCTTCACTAGGAAAAACAGCTTTTGAGGACGCAGAATTGTGTGCAATGTTTGTGCTCACTCACGTGTATGGATACATGGCAGACCCAGTGAGGCCTGTGAGGTCTGTGACAGGGGGACTGAAGTGTACCATCTGTGTGTTTTAAACCCTAACTCAGCTTGTAAACTCCATGAGGTAACACAGTGTCTGTCCTTTTCAACATAGCACTCTGTGACCAGCACTGTAGGAACTCATAAAAGGTGCTAAGTAAGAGATGACTGAACAGGTAGATGTACCCTAATTTCAACCCGTAGCTCTAAGCCCTCTAAAGACTTGTGACACCTACATGTTACCTGTCTAGCCTACCTGTGTCCCCAGCACCCCACAGGAAGAACACAGTTCCATCCCCCATAGGCATGCTCTCCGTTTTTTGTTGTTGTTGTTGTTTGTTACCATCTGTGTGTGTGTGTGTGTGTGTGTGTGTGTGTGTGTGTGTGTGTGTTGGGGGTGGGAGCTCAAAACCCCTGGGAGCAGAGGAAAGGCAAAGATGGTGGGATGGGGGACTTCTAGGCTGTTAGGACACTGGTTTTGTGACTGTTCATAGTACTGGAACTGGCTGCCAGAAAAGCAGAGAGGCCTTAGAGCACCAGCTTTCAACAGCGAAATCACAAATGCTGACAGGAAGAGGTTTATTCCCCCAGATTTGTTCTCCTTCACTCTAGGAACAGTACCCCATTTCCCCTGAGGAGTCTGCTGCCTACTGTAATGACAGGATTGGGGGAGACATGGCAGAGCTGAAGGTGACACTTGGCTGCCCTTTGAGCAGCACCACCCAAAGCCAAAGCTACCTCCAAAGAAAGTATCAGGAGGCAGAGAAACATGTTCCACACAGGGTCTTCTGAGAACCTGCACCCTGCTGAGCCACAGCAGAAGCCCCTGCTGGAATCCCAGCCCTAACCCACAATGCTTCCCCCTCAGCTGACCAATGGTAGGCAGAGCTTGACCCTTGGCAACCGAGGGATCTGCTTAGTACTATGGCTTCCACCCTGAGTTCCAGAAGTTTTGTTTCTTTATAAGAGAAAGGCTGAAATGAGCTGAAAGCCTTTTATGTAGGTCCTTATGCTTTAGGGATTCATATTAAAAACTTTTAAGAGAAGGGGCTGGAAAGATGGCTCAGTTGTTAAGAGCAGTGGCTACTCTTGCAGAGGACCCAGATTTGGTTCTCAGCACTCACATGACTGCTCACAACTGGTTTTTAGTTACAGGGGATCCAATGCCCTCTTTTGGCTTCTATAGGGACTATACTTACACTTGTAAGTGGTGTTCTTACATGTAGGCAAAACACACATACACATACAAATAAATTTAAAAGAAAATCTTAAGGGGCGGGGCTAGAGAGATGGCTCGATGTGGCTCAGTGGGTAACGCACTTGTTATATAGCCTTTCAGACCTGAGTTTGGATCCTCAGAGCCAGTGTGAAGCTGGATGTGGTAGCTCAGGTCTTCTACAATCCCAGTGTTCCTACAACAGATGGATGGTAGAGACAGAAGTGTGTGAGAGACCTAGCCTGACCTGTGTAGCTTCTAAACAAGGTAGGAGGTGAGGACTGACAATGAGGTTGTCTTCTGACCTCTACACATGTGCCGTGTATATGTGTGTCTGCACTCACACATATGAACATGTGTATATACACACACACACGCACACACAAAGGAAAAAATAAACCAAACAAAACCCCTGATTATGTGACATGTTGTTGCTTTTGCATCAAGACTAATAAAGACTGAACAGCAATGACATCTGCTGCATCTTTCTGGCTAAATTTTGGTTCTGTGTGAAGCTGTGGTTGTCTCTGGAGAGATAAGAGGCACAAGAAAGCGCTGCATGTATTCAAGTGAGTCTTGTGATTGGTTTATTGCAGTAGGCAAGGACCCAAATGTTCTAATGTATCTGCATATGCTGCTCCTAGACACATCTGCTTGGTCCCTTCCTCTGGCCCTTGAAGGCCCCTCTGTGGCTCCTTCCTCCTCGAGGCCATCCTGCTGCTTAGCCCTGCACTATGTACCACCAAGCCCCTTTCTATTTGGGGCATCCCTTCTGAACACAAGTGATCCACAGCCTACAAGCCGGGGTAGTAAATTAACATGGGAAGGTGCGTGCTGGGCCAAGAAGCTGCTGGGCCCTCTGTAGCTATGAACCTGTCTACATGAACCAGGCCTTGGTGTAAGGCTTGGGAGATGGCTGCTCCTCTGTATCCCCTAATGCTCGGAGCATGTATGTGCCTGAGTAGATGAGGAACTGTCCGGTCACCTGAGCAGCATAGGACACAAACCGCAGCAGACTCCTGCAACAGAGCAAGATGGAGATACATCAGGCTTGGGACTCTGGCCTGACCAGAGCCAAAACGGTGGGAAGGCCTCATCCCATCCCACCTAACTCAGCTCCAGAATGGAGGGCATGCTCTCAGGGCACACGTGCCTACATGCTCCCTGGTTGGGCTGCTAGTGCTGACCCAGACCACCTCCTGGGGCACAGTAATCACCAGCCATGTTGATAGAAGCCTGCCCAAGCAGGAACTCAAGGGTCCCATAGAGCCCCCTCCATTCCTGAACTTAGGTGAGTGTGTGGGGCTTGCTGCTGCCGCCTCCTAGGTCGGGGTGAAGGAAGAGATCAGGCTGAGGAAGATTATGACGAAAACTGGAATAATGATCCTCTGGTCTGGCCTGTGGATCGCAGCTGAATGTCCAGCTTGTTTGTTACTGGGGGAGAACATTTTACCCTGTCCTGGCCTCTGAAATCCCGACTGAATCAGTAATTTTTCAGATTGAAACAACAACAAAAGCTTTGCTTTAAGTTTCCTTTTTTTGCTGGTCTCAAAGGTTTATGGTGGCTTGCACAAGATCATAACAAAACATGTAGCCAGGGCTCACGCTGTCCCTGGGGAGGGGACCCCTAAACCTGAGGCCAGCTGTCAGGCTGGGAGAGCCCTCTTATCCACAGCATCCCTTCCCCAGGAGGGCCTGGGAAGCTTCGCCCTGGATGTGGCTGCCTGGGTTGTCCTAAGAACTACTAGAATTCTAACAAGAGGCTGAATTTGTCTTGTGGAAGTGATTAGGACATTTTACTTTTTGAAGCTGATGTAACTCTCCTGCTTCCCTAAACAAAATAGTTATTTGTTTCCCCCATGTCAGCCCATAAAGGAAACTCTGTGGGGAATGAAGGTCTTTGCTTCCTGGCCAGCAAGAGGCAGAGAGAACAGGGCCAGTTGATCCTAGTTCCAAAACTATGAGCACAAACAAACTTCTTCCCCTATCCCCTCTCTCTTTTAAATTAAAAAAAAATTTTTTTTTTAAAGACAGAGTCTCATGTAGCTCAGGCTGGCCTCAAACTCACTATGTAGCTACAGATGACCATGAACTTCTGATACTCGTTCCTCTACCTCCCAAGTGCTGAGGTAATAGCTGTGTACCACAATGCCTGGTTTATATAGTGCTAAAGATCAAAGCCAGGGGTTCATGCACTCTACCAACTCAGCTACATCCCTAGACCAAACCTTTCCTCTACTGAAGATGATTTGTCTCAGGGATACTGTTACCCTCACAGAAACAGGAGGTCTGAGGTAGAGCGAGACCGTCTCTCTGGTAAAGCTCTGTAGCACTGGCCTAGCCTTTGGGATGATGGGACTCTGTCATTACACAGACAAGGAATGTACCTGGCTGCATTTCCAGCCAGGTGACAGTTAACAGTGACATAGAAGATACATGCAGAAGAGTTCATCACAATTTGGTCACTATCCAAACCAGGCCAGAGTCTCCATGGCGCTTGCTTCTGGGGTCAGAGCTTAGAACTCAGAGTTTGGTTTGACTTCGTGTTTGTGATTTCGCTGTTTATTTCCATGTAGTGTTTAATGGCCTTTGAAGTGTGTGAGGGGATCTGTTTTGGCGTTTGTGTGTGTGTGTGTGTGTGTGTGTGTGTGTGTGTAGCTGATGATTGAACCTAAGACCTCACACATGCTAAAAAGGTGCTCTACCCCTGAGCTATATCTCCAGCTGGAGTTTGTGTTTTCTGATATGTCTGTTAAGAGTTGAACAGTGAGATATAAACTGTAAGAGTTAAAATGGTAAAGACCACATGGATCAGAGCACACCTAACAAGGATGGATCCAGCTGGGGTCTTGTGGTTGGGGCCTGGGGCAGAGGACAAGTTGGAATGAGTCACCTGTGTCACACCTGTTTCCAGACCCCCACAGGCACCCCCTGGACTGTTACCTCAATATGGCCTTGAACCCTGTGCACCGGATATCATAGGACACTGAGTACATCTCGTACATAGTGGCTTTCACATTGAGGCAGCCGAGGAAGTCCTTGGGATTCAGCCTATATAGGTCAAAGGTGACTCTGGCTATTCCTGATTTCTTTGGTTGCTTGCAGACAGGAACATATTTACTACCCTAGAGCAATGAAGCAAGGGACAGACTTAGAGTTCACAGCCAGGTGTGGTAGTTTGAATGAGAAATGACCTCCATCATGCAAGTATCTGAACACTTGGTCTCCAGTTGGTGATGCTGTTTAGGGAGGTCATGGTCTTCAAATTTAGAAGGTTCAGCCTTGCTGGAGGAAGCACACCACTGAGGGTGGGCTTTAAGAGGTCACAGCCTCACCTACTTCCAGTTTGCTCTCTCTACTTCATGTTTGACTCTGAATATATAAGCTGTGAGCTTCCTGCTCCTGTCACCAAGTCTGCTGCCTTGCCTCCCTGCCATGATAGACTCTTATTCCCTCCTGAGCTACCATAAGCCAAAATAAATTCTTTTTAAAAAAGATAGTTATGGGCCGACATGGCAGCTATACCCTCGCTGGAGCTCCGGTCCCCAGTTCCTGAACTCGAGGTGCAGCCCCGGAGCGGTGGGTGGGAAAGATGAACGAAACTCCTACTGTCGTCTTCTTTTTCACCAGGCTAGTTTGAAAACACGGTAAGTTGAAAAAAGAGGCCGTGGAGAGGTTTGCTGAGAAATTGACTCTAGTGCTTGAAGAGAAATAAAAAATCACTGGTGTCCAGAAAAACCATCAAAAGGACAGGCCTACAGATGCATTTGTGAGTTTCAGAGAGTTGATCCTGATGTACTAAAAGCCTGTGAAAACAGTTGCATCTTGTACAGTGACCTGGGCTTGCCAAAGGAGCTCACACTCTGGGTGAGCTGTTGTTATGGAGAGAAAAACAACACATTCATCGTTGCCGGCTTTGAAAATGAGGATGAGATCTCCAAGAAAGTTAGCAGGGCCTTCGATAAGGTTACCTTAGATTATCATTCGGGATCCTCCTCCTCAGATGAAGAACCAAGTAAGGAAGTGGAAGCGAAGCCCCAGTTCGGTGACTGCAACCGCAAGCCCTGTTATACCAGATTTCAGAACTGATATTCCCACCTCTTCCAATGTGGCACCTTTTGCCCAGAAAAAAGCCAGGAATGTACCTAGGGAATGGCCATCAGAGTCACTACCCTCCTCCTGTTCCACTTGGTTATCAAATCCAGGAAGAAAGAATAAACCAAATCGCCCAACTCCAGTGACATGGGTACCTCCTCCTGGAATGCATTGTGAAGGAAATCATTGGATTAATCCTCACGTTAGCACCTGACTAACTCCTTTTGATTGTGTTGATGTCATGTTGATACAAAGGAAGAATATACCTTACTCCACATTAAAAGTTCATATTTGTAGTGAAGTTAGATGGGCCAAACCATCAAATTTATTTTTATAGAAAAGTTATTGAGAATAATCTTTCTTAAAAAGTATATATGCACTTTGGACATTAGTCAAGTGCCTAGGTTTTTAATATTGGACTTCGTATTTATATATCATGCATTGACTCTATTGGATACAAAAACACTGTAGGGGTGGGCAATGTGTTTGTGTATCTTTGAGCTTTTACTTTATGGACAGTATGTAAGTTATTTACATACAAGAAATTTATTTTATGTCATTGTTTAGAAGAATTATGTGAAATCATGTAGTTGCAAATAAAAAGTAGTTTGAGGCAAAAAAAAAAAAAAAAGAAAAAAAAAGATATTTATGGCCAGGCGTGGTGGCAAACGCCTTTAATCCCAGCACTTGGGGGGCAGAGGCAGGCAGATCTCTGTGAGGCCAGCCTGGTCTACATAGTGAGTTCCAGGCCAGCTGGGGCTACAGGGAGACCCTGTCTCAAAAAGACCAAAAAAAAAAAAAAAAAAGTAGGACAGGCATGATGGCGTGCCTTTAATCTCCAGCACTTGGGATGCAGAAGCAGGAGATCTCTATGAGATCGAGGCCAACCTGGACTACATGGTGAGTTCCAGGTCTGATGGTACTACAGAGAGATCCTATCTCAAAAAGACAAAACAGACAAACAAAAAAAGCAAAAAAGAGATATTTATGTGCATATGTATGTTTCTTCATGAGTTTATGTGCATCACAGATGCCCATGGTAGTCAGAAGGTGTCAGATCCCTTAGAACTGAGTTACAGGCAGCTGATGTGGGTGCTGGGTGTTGAACCCAGGCCCTCTGCAAGAGCAGTAAGCACTCTGAGAGATTTCTCTATCCCCTTCTTTTCTTCAGTAAGTTACATTTTTTTGGTCATGGTGTTTTATCACAGGATATTCAAACTGCATGATCTGGAGTTCTGCCAGCGCTAGAGTCTCCTAAACAGTAGCTGATAATTATTCCAGTAACATTTTTAGTAGGCCACCATGTTATACTACAGCTATGTCTAAATACAGAACCAAGGGCTCTTCCCTCATCAACTCCCAGTTTAATGTCTCAGGACAAGTTTTTTGGCTTTGATCCAGTGTCCAGTGTATGGCAGTGCTCCTGCCTCAGGATGCCGGGGCTTGTTTGTTTGTTTGCACTGGACCCTGAGGCTACCCTGGAGCATGTGGTGACACAGAGAGCCTCCTCATAACTGTCACAGTCATGGAGGAGTAGGAAGTACTATTTCTATTTCACAAGCAGCTCTGAGGAAAAAAATGCCAGAACTACAAGGCTTGTGGAATAGGTGGAACAGGCCTCTCTCAGGGTAGCCAAGGAGGAAGGATACCTCTGTGGGAACAGTAGACACAGAATCCACTCTGCGAGGGACACCAGGTGATCGATCCTTCAGGTTGGGAAGGACATACACACCTGGGTTTATAAATAGCTTTGTAACAGACTCCTCCTGTCTACAGCAAGCATTTAAAAAATGAGAGAAGAAAGAGGTCCCAAGATGCAAATGCTGGGGCTGGGGATGTGGCTCAGTGGTAGAATACTTGCCTAGCATGTGCAAGGCTCTAGGTTCAAGTTCAATCTCCAGCCTTGGGGGCAGAAAAGCTAATCCTGGCTTATGAGCTGTTCTCCTAAGTAAGTGGTTTGTGTCACACACAGGCCCCACTGTACAGGGTCAAGTTTAGATGATGAAAGTGTTCTCATGCCTCAGGGACCTTTGGGTTTGGGAGTACTTGAAACTGGTTGGGTGTACTTGAAACCGTCGATGTTATATATGAGGACACTTAAATATATTTGAAATTAAAACATAAACTTCCTTGAAATGTACCAGCCCTTCTTCCTAGTAGCCACTGTTGGTGTCCCCCTCTGTCTACCACACAGATTATACATGACAAGTGATTCTGGTTGTTACCTAGGGTCCAGTGTACAAAAGGCTGTACCACTCCTGTACCAACTATCTATTATCAAACAGTATTTACTAGGGCATCAAAGGGTTTTCAGCTCCCATCTTCCCACAGCTCTTTTTCACCGTCTTATCTTTCTGGTTTTTCAAGTTTATCTGGCAGTACCTGAATGGCTCCCTTTAGTCTTGGTGTTAAACCAACACACCATCTCAAGGCTAAGCACAGGGACCTCGCACCTGAGCAGGAAGGCTTCTATAACCCATCTGCAGCAAAGGAAAGACATGACTGGGCCTGCCTTCTTCAAGGGTGGCGCCAGGAGCAGTTTCTCACAGAGACTGAGAAAGGGAGACATCTGGTGGCTGCTGAAGTTCTTGTCCCAGTCAAAAAGCCTCTGGGATTGCACTTCTCCTTGAGGTGAGATCCTACTTGACAGGGAGTCACTATCTCAACCCTACAGGAAAATGGCCTGTGGGAAGCCATGCCTAGCACTCCCCAGAACCGCAAACAACCAAACAAGAGCCCAGAAATGAACTGGTACAGCCAAATACAGCCAAAGGTTTTTTGTTTGTTTGTTTGTTTGTTTTTGGTCTTTTTGAGACAGGGTCTCTTCTGTAGCCTGCCTCTGCCTCCCAAATGTTGGGATTAAAGGTGTGTGCCACCATGCCTGGCAAGTAGTTTTGTTTTGCTTTTTAAATCTTTGTTTTTACTCTCAGAAAAATTATATGTGTGTGTATGTGTAAAAATAAGACAAAAGAAAATATTATGTACCACCGGGGTCCTGTGGCATGTCTCTTTCCTTATACCACGGCCTCTTCTCTGGAGGAAACCATCTTGGCTATGTATCTTTCTCTTAAACAATACATTGCTAATTTTGCATATTTTTAATTATCTAGAAATAGTTTAATGCAGAGGTTCTCACAGTGGTCTAGAGATAGTTAGAGGATCAATCCCAAGGGTTAAAACTTTCCATAATAAGGGGCTAGAGAGATGACTCAGTGGATAAAAGCACTTGTTTCTCTTGCAGAAGACCCAGGTTTGGTTCCCAGCACCCACATAGTGGCTAACAACCATCTATAACTCCAGTTCCAGGGGATCTGATGCCTTCTTTTGGCCTCTGCACGCATTGCATGAACACGGTGCATTTGAAGACATGCAGGCAAAACACTCATACACACGCTAAATTAAAAAATATAAAAAAACTTTTTCTTTTAAATTTTGTTTTTTATTTTTATTTTATGTGTATGAGTATATTACCTGTATGTATGTAAGTGCACCTGTGTTGTGAAATGCCCTCAGAAGTCAGAAGAGAGAATCAGATCCCCTGGAACTGGAGTTACGGACAATTCTTAGCTATCATGTGGGTGCTGGGATTTGAACCCAGGTCCTCTGTAAGAAGAGCCAGAGCTCTTAACCACTGAGCTCCAGCTCCATAAAAAACTTTTTCATAATAAACATTAAAGACTTTTTTTCTTTTCTGTTCTCAGAAGTGGTGGTTTTCTATAGTATATTTGGGAAACACTCATGACTTAATGAGTCTACATTTCCTTTCTTTCATTTCTTTTTCTATTGTTTTTCTTTTCTTTTCTTTTTGATCTTTTTGAGACAGGGTCTCCCTGTAGCTCCAGCTGGCCTAGAGCTCCCTATGTAGACCAGGCTGAACTCGACCTCACAGAGATCTCTGCCTCCTGAGTGCTGCGATCAAAGGCATACACCACCATGCCTGGCCCTCTGGTGTTTTCCTTTGGGGGCTGGGAATTCAACCCAGGGCTTTGTGCATGCCAAGTACTATCGCTAAAGTATACCTCAGCTCCAAATCAATATTTTCTAAATGACCAAGTGTTTAAAATCACTGTGGGGAATAATCCTTTCAAAATGTAAGACAGACCAAAGGACTCAGTGTGACAGAATGACCAATGTAAGTGGGACCTCAGATTCTCCACTGCAGTTAGGCTTCCTGAACCCAGCATCTGTTGGCTTTTGGCATAATATTGAAGCAGAGTACCCTAACTGATATGTGAAGCCTGCTACCATCCCTCCTTTCCTCTCCACCTATATATCTGCAGCCAGACCAAGTTTTCTTCAAATGTCCATCAAAACGATACATTACAGCAGACCAAACACAGACATATATCTGAGATTTAAGGGTATTCTAGACATTAAAGAGAGCACTCTTAAAAAACAAAATCCGGGTATTGGTTGTGCACACCTTTGATCTCAGCATTTGATCTCTGTAAGACCAAGATCAGCCTGATCTACATAGCAAGTTCCAGGTCAGCTGGAGCTACAGGGAGACTTTATCTCAACCCACCCCACCCCAAAAAAAAGAAAAGAAAATATTAGTCACGCTTGGCGGCGCACACCTTTAATCCCAGTACTTGGGAGGCAGAAGCAGGCAGAGCTTTCAGAGCTCTGTGAGGTCAAGGCCAGCCTCCTCTACATAGCAAGTTTCAGGCCAGATGGAGTTACAGGGAGAAAAAAAAAAAAAAAAAAAAAAAAAAAAAAAAAAACCCCAAAAGAAGAAAATATTGATTTTCTTATTAAAATGTGTGGTTCAAGTTAACCTTTACTGGGTTATTAATGAATCAATAAATATTATTTAATTTCTCAGTTTAATTTTGAATATGGCAAATGTCTGTATTTATGGCTTTTAGTTTCTCAACCTTGGCACAGTTGGCCTTTGGAGCTAGGTAATTGGTTTTTTTTTTTTTGTCTTTTTGAGACAGGGTCTCCCTGTAGCCCCAGCTGTCCTGGAACTCACTATGTAGACCAGGCTGGCCTTGAACTCACAGAGATCTGCATGCCTCTGCCTCCCGAGTGCTGGGATTAAAGGCGTGTGCCACCACGCCCAGCAGAGCTGGGTAATTCTTTATCTCAGAGGTGTTCCCTGTTAAATGCTAACAGTAATCTCCTCTGCCCCAGCTGTAATGTTCTAAAATGTCTTCACACATTACCAGATGTCACCCAAGGGCAAAACAACCCCAGGTAAGAACCAATCACTATATCTATGACCACATTGATGTGACCCATGTAAACAAAAGGTATTTGGAGTCCTCATTACTTTTTTTTTTCCGATACCAACAGAGATTATTTATTAGAAAGGAAATAAATTGTTATTGAGTATGTTAAAGCTGTAATGAAATGCTTCTAAAAAATAAAATATATATATATATAATAATAATAAAGAAGCTGTCATTGTCTGGTTTGAGGTCTTCATTACTTTTTGAGTGTAAAGGAATCCTGAGATCAAAAAGTTTGAGGACAAGTTGTCCAGTGCACTATTCTGTGCTCTCTTTACTAAGTAGTCATGAGATTTATGTGCACGAGTGTAGTTCATGCATCTTCACAGTTGAAGCATTTCATTCAGTAAACGTGAAACAGCTTAGCAACCTATGTGAATTTACACAGAAATCTCTAATGGGTGATGCACATCCCCAGTTACGTGCAATAGACATATGGTTTGTTTCTAGTATTAAATGCCACTCACAAAGGTGACATGATGCTCTGATAGACATCTGCTGACAGGTGCCAGAATGTTCCAGGGGCATATGCCTAGGGATGGTGCTCCTTGGTCATAAGCTATGCTTTGACTTTGTTTTTTTTAAGAATTTGATGTAGGGGCTGGAGAGATTGCTCAGTGGTTAAGAGCACTGACTGCTCTTGCAGAGAACCTGGGTTCAATTCTCAGCACCCACATGGGGCTAACAACTATGTGTAACTCCAGTTCCAGGGGATCTGACAGTCTCTTCTGTCCTCCGTGGGCATTGCACAACATGGGTGCACTTACCTATATGCAGGCAATGCATGTATATATGCATAAAATAAAAATAATAAATAAGGGGCTGGAGAGATGGTTCAGCGGTTAAGAACACTGGTTGTTCTTGCAGAAGACCCATGTTCGAATCCCAGCACCCACATGGCAGCTAACAGCTGTCTGTAACTCCAGTTCCAGGGGCTCTGACAGCCTCTTCTGTCCTCCACGGGCACTGCACTTACCTATATGCAGGCAATACACACATACACATAAATAAAAATAATAAATAAATATAAAAAAATTAAAAATAATAAAAGATTTAATTTTTTTATTTGTTCTTATTTTATGTGTATGAACATCTTCCCTAGATGTCTGTAGGTACACCATATGTGTGCAATGCTTGCAGAGACCAGAAGAGGGCATCAGATCCCCTGGAACTGGAGTCACAGACAGCTATTAGCTGCCATGTGGGGGCTGAAATTGAACCCAGGTCCTCTGCAAGAGCAGCCAGTGCTCTTAACCACCAAGTCATCTCTTCAGCCCCTTAAATATCAGTTTGTAGGAGGATAAGAAAGCTTGTCTTAATCTTAAAAATGTTAAAAGAGGACTATGGGGCCCCATCTCTTAATTTCTCTCTTTACTCCCTCGCTCCTGTATATGCAGGTTTTCCTACCACTTGCTCCTTCAAGGATGTGCTGCCTCATCACAGGCCCCAAACCAAGAGGCATGTTGATCATGGACTGGACCCTCCAACACTGAGACAAACCTTTCTTCATTTTTTAATATATTATTCTTATTTTTTATTTGTGTATGAGTATATTGCCTGAATGTATATAAGTGCACCCATGTCATGCAGTGCCCAAAGAGGTCAGAAGAGGATGTTGAATTCCTCTGGAACTGGAGTTACAGACAGTTGTTAGCCACCATGTAGGTGCTGAGAATCGAACCCAGGTTCTCTGCAAGAGCAGACAGTGCTGTTAACCACTGACCCATCTCTTCAGCCCCAACTTTTCTTCTTCATAAGTTGTCTCAAGTGTTTTATTATAGTGACAAAATGTTAGCACACACACACACACACACACACACACACACACACACACTCACGAATTCACATACCCAGTTGGCCGTGCCAGCTTGTCTAGCTTCCTAAGGATTAGGACAGTGACGATCTGCTGACTACTTTACTCACTAGTCAAAGCCTATTCTTCGAAATTATTTGTTTTAAATCATATAGTCCAAATTTAGAGACTCCACATTTCCTAGAAACACTTAAGAATCCTTTTGAGACTTGTGGGTACAGCTGTTAGGTGAATATATAAAGTATATAATAAGGGTGGCTACATCAACACTAAACTGGACAGTGTATTCGTAGGTGGGACTTCTACCCAGTTATTATTTGTATAACAAGATGGTGCTTACCGGTGTCCACTTTTGTCCTTTTTCCAAGATCATGAAATGTGTGTTGTCCCCTAAGGTCTGAAAAAACTCTTCTGTGTCTACCACAGTGCCATCCTCCTCCAGTACCAGCGTGACCAATCCAGCCGTGATGACCAGGACATCCAGAGTCTAGGTTTGTAATGGAGCAGAGAAACAAGATGAAGGGGGTGATTTGCATTGGGCCATCTACCACATTTAAGATAAAGTCTCAGAAGGGTTGGTTGATTTGGTGAATTTGATTGGTACTTATCATTCAGCCTATACTCAGAAAAAAGATTAAGATTTTAAAAAAATTATTTATTATTTTTTATTTTATGTGTATGAGTGTATTGCCTGCATGTAAGTGAGTGCACCCATGTCGTGCAATGCCACAGAGGTCAGAAGAGGGCTTTGGATTCCCCTGGAACTGGAGTTAAGGATGGTTCGTAGCCGCCATGTGGGTGCTGGGAATCGAACCTGGGTCCTCTGCAAGAACAGTCAGTGCTCTTAACTGCTGAACCATCTTTCCAGCCCCATTTTTTTTCAATATTGTATTATTTTTATTTTATGTGTATGCTTGTATTGCCTGCATGTAGGTAAGTGCACCCATGTTGTGCAATGCCCCTGGGACTGGAGTTAAGGACAGTTGTTAGCTGCCATGTAGGTGCTAGGATTCAAACCTGGGTCTTCTGCAAGAACAACCAGTGTTCTTAACTGCTGAGTCATCTCTCCAGCCCCAATTAAGATTTTTTTATTTTAAGGGGCCTATCTTCTTAAGAGATGGGCTAAGTGATTGCATATTCAGAATTTCTATGATTGCCCATTACCTATGAATAAGCAGAACAATCTACATTCTGTACTTTAAGAGCCATGGTCTCATGTGGCACACCCGGACACCTCTTGCTTTAGAGGCCGGTGCTGGATGCTGTTTCTCACTCCTGTAGGCATCTCTGAGTTAGGACTCTCTGAGAGCCTAGAATTCTTCCTTATTTGTGACTGGCAGCACTGTTTTAGATTGAGGATTAACCCTACCCTGGCCAGATTTCCTAAGCCTCTGTGTTTTCCCTTGTCAAAGAAACAACACTATGTTTTTGGTCCATGGCTGCTTTTTAGATGGTCCTCTCTGCACTACAGTCTTCCATGAGGCAGACTTCAAGCCATCTTTCACCCACTCTCCCTTCACATCTCCCCTCAAGCCAACAGAGAGAGACTGACAGGTTTGACTTGCTGTCTTTCTGGACCCTTCTATCTTGGTGCTGGCTGTGACCCCAAGCTTGCTGAGGCCATGAATGGTGGTGGCCACATACCTTGCTGATGAGTTCCTGCAGGCTGCTGGCCATCACCCCACGCCGGCTGCTTCGGTCATGGTTTGAGACTCGAAAAGGGCGAGCTGATGGTATAAGGGGGGTCAGCAGGACTTTCTTAGTTTGTGATCCCATGAATGTCAGAGGCCTGTGAAGGAGGCACAAGGGAAGACCATCCTTGCTGTTACTTTCAGACAGGGTGGGTTTTTGTTGTTGTTGTTTGCTTGGTTTTTTTCTTTCCCCCCTGTGGCCCCAGCTGGCGTGGAACGCACTATGTAGACCAGGCTGGCCTTGAACTCACAGAGATCCACTTGCCTCTGCCTCCCAAGTGATGGATTAAAAGTGTACACCACCACATCCAGTTTCAGACAGGATTTTTTTATAATTATTATTTTGATTTTATGTGTATGCATGTATTGCCTGTATGTAGGCAGTAAGTGTTAGTATACCTAACACTAAGCTATGTTAAAACTCTTAAAATGGCACACACACAGGATTATTCTTTTTTGATGTCCAAATTAGTGGGTAATCCTAGAAATTATAAATAGTATTTAATATAATCTTTTTCTCAGGTTTCTTAAGAGATGGGCCCATTAAAAATCTTAACCTCTCTTTTTCAAAACAAAGGCTAAGTCACGGACTATGGCTGAGGCAGAACTTTATGAATGAAACATTAAACAGTATACCCTAAAATCACACCAGCATGGACCAGGGACAGAGCTACAGCATCACCAAGGCACAAAACGTTTTCTGGGGGAAATGGCCCCGGCCCTTGGCTATTCAATGCTAGTTAACTGGAAACTACACAAAAGTATTATGGATGAGAAAGAACAAAGATGCTTACTACTTCAGCACTTAGGAAAAACATATTTTGGTTTCTTTTTTGTTTGTTTAACATTTAACTCAACTTTCAGGAATATAATTCAAGTTTGGGGTTTTTCAAAATTTTTATTTTATTTTTTGAGATGGCCTCATTATGTAGCCTTGGCTGGCCTGGAAATCACTATGTACACCAGACTGGCCTTGAACTCACAGAGACCTGCCTGCCTCTGCTTCCTAGTGCTGGGATTAAAAGAGTGTAGTACCACACCCGGATGTTTTTATTTTTATTTTTTGAGATAGGGTCTCATATAGTCTAGACTGGCCTTGAACTCCCAATGTTTTAACATAGTTTAGTGTTAGGTACATAGTTTTAATTATTTGGAAAATGTAAAACCTAACTCCAAAGTCTCCTGTGACCTACTTAAAATTCTTTCCTTTGTGTTCTTCCAATGACAGTTGTGATAGTAGTTCTGTTGATTCTAACTTCAAAACCTTGGCTGAGGGGCTGGGAACTCAGTTCAGCTAAGGATGGCCTTGAGCTTCTGATTTGGCCCCAGGCACCTGCCATCACTTTTGCTAACCAGCTAGGTGCTTCGAGCTAAGTAACTAATATGTAAACTAAGTCTGCATGTTAGTAAACACAGGAAGCTTTGGTAGTCAGGAAAGAATGCTAAACTACCTTGGACATACTACTGCATGCTTTTAAACAAAAACAAGACCCTGTTTAAGAAAATAGAGAGATGATCTTAGGAAGAAAAGTATTAAGACGGTACTTAAAAATAATTCCAGGAGGGTGACAGATGTGCCTTGCTGTCATCCCTCAGTGGCCAAGACTCTTTGAAGATCATTTGAGTAACACATAAAGAGTCTTAATACAGGCTTTGGATCTGTAAATAAATGATTACAAGTAACAGAACAAATAAGCAATGTTTCTGTCTGGCTCTGGCAACAGGTACTGTAACTAGTGGCCCCCAGGCCCTGAGAGACCAGTCCTTGTATGCTCTAGTGTCCCATACCCAGGACAGGGCCCACATATTTTGAGTGCTAAGAGAGTGCTTGACTATTGGGACAAATACTTGGACAGAAACACTCAGAATAATGAAAGAAGGGCTTTATTTTCAGGACAATCTGAAGGATACAAAGTGAGCATGTAACTGCTTTCTGATGGGAATTTGTTTAGATTGACTCTCCTGGGACTAAAGTCCCAAAGGATATCTGTTCTGACTGTCATTGCCCACTACCTGTCACTTAGCTCTATATTCCCAATTATATGGGAATTTCCTTAAGGAAAAAAAAAAACTTTTTTTCCAAGTCAGGGTCTCATGTAGCCCAGGCTGGCCTCAAATTTACTTTGAAGCCAAGAATAACCTTGAACTCTGAGAGGCTGGGATTATAGGCATTCACCAACACACCAGACTTTATACAGTGTTGAGGATCAGATCAGGGGTTCAGGTATGCCAGGCAAACTACCAACTGAGCTCCTCCTAGCCCCACAAAGATAGATCTTCCTGTTATATTTCCTATAATACCTAGCTTAGTGCTAGGCACATAAGTTTTAAATACATGTTGTTGTCTAACTTGAATCTCTACTAATAAATATAAGTAAAAATTCAATGATTTATCATATAAATCTGTTAGATGGAAAGTGATGGTAGATATTAATGAATCTCAAAACCTGTCAAGTTCATGCTATATCTGGATCAGTGTCAGGAAGTTCATGATGAAGAAGACTGATTGCTAATATCTACCCCTCTTTTTCTTCTCCCCCCACCCCCTGCTTTCTCCCTTCCTCCTTCAGCCCCACTAACAAATGGGCATTCAGGAATCAGCCCTAGACTGTTAAAAAGAACTTTGGTCTGAAGTATATATAGCCAGCCTCACCAGGACTTCATACAGCCTGCCTCTCATCTCTTGCCGTGGTCACCAATTTTAACTATACCAACTATTGTCATCATACCATTACACTCCATTTCTCAGATGAAAAAACTGAGGTTCAACATGGTTTCTCAACATCATCCAAAGTGATAAAGGAAAGAGATAGGATGAGATTTATCTAAAGCCAAGAGCTTCTGTTTGGTAGGGGAACATCAAATTCCAAGCAGTGGAAAGTAGCCTGGAGCATCCCGAAGTGGAGCTTTACAGTTGAAAGCACCACAGTTTTGCATTCACACCCTCAATCCCTTTCCCTTTCAGGTGGACAAAGGTGCTCACAATATGTTTCCAGTGAGGCAAAGCTGAGGGGAATGTGATAGGTTAGGGGTCCCCAACCTGGGTCACCTACTGGAATGACCTTGGAGTTTTGACCAGAGATCCAGATGGGTCCCGTGCAGCAGGGGTCCTGGCATGTAATTCCTGAACTTCTGCCTTGATTTGGAGGAGTTGCACCAGGTTTCTGTTATACAACCCAAGGAACAAGGTGTTCACATGCCACTGAGCTAACACCAGGGCAGAATTCATGTACACACTTGCACCTGGAGACCAGGAAGGCAGGGAGGGGGGCAGGACCTGCCAGCTTTATGCTTCCTAGTCAGAACCCCACTTTGTTTTTAACATACTCACAGGGTGAAACTTTAACCAAGTCCTCACAAAGAAGGAGGAAAGACAGTCATGAGTTCTACATGAGGTCAAACACCTGTGTACATTAGCACACAGTAACTCATGAGATCAGTCACACTGATTAGTTAGACTGAGGCTTAGGGACAGTAGACAGCTAAGGTCACTTAAGCAGCATTTAAGCAGTGACAGAGCTTCAATACAGAACCAACGTTTTGGGGGGCAGAGGAGAGAGGAAGCATTTTGAGTCAGGGCCTCACTATATACCCCTCACTGGCTATGAATTCATGACCTTCCTGCTTCTTCTCCTATGTGCTGCAGTTATACAGTGGTGCCACCACACCTGACTCTCCAACTTTCTTACTGTGGTGTCTCCTCTATCAGGTTAACTCCTTCCCACAGAATGGGAGCCTCTCCTTGAATGGGAGTCTCCTTGAATGGGGGTTGACTCTTACCCCAGAATGCTGTTATTACCCAAGAAGCCTCTGAAACCTGTTTGCAGAGTCCAGAGTCTGCTTGTGCATTTTCTGCCTTCCCATAGAACCCAGCCCACCCCATTCCACTGCAATGCCACCTATTTGCTGAGTCAAAAACATGCCAGGATGAAGCCAGAGGAAAAGAACACAGACCCATGTCTTCAAATGCCAGGTCTCAGCCCTAGCAGTAGAAGGCCTATCTTTGACCTAGTTAGCTGTGGCCCTAGGTCTCCTTACTGTAAAAAGACTCTTAGGACTTCCCAAGCACCACCCCAGTGACTTGGCCCAGCTGAAGTATTCAAAAGTTCCCATTGTCTTTAAGACAGGGGCTGGCAATCACTGTGGTCCTCCTTACCTCTCTTGGGTACAGAAGGACAAGCAATCCTTTGTTCTTAGTTAAAGTATTTCCTAACCAAGAACTGGCTCATTGCTGGAGATAAGACCCATCTCTCTCTCTCTCTCTCTCTCTCTCTCACACACACACACACACACACACACACACACACACACACATCACTGACACATGGAAATCAAATCCCAGTCATTCCTATAAGGACAAGTGCCCTAATGTGCCTTAAAATCATCTGGGGAGATGGCTCAATTAGTAAAAAAAGCTTCCTGCATAAGCATGAGAACCTGAGTTAGAGCCTTAGAACCCAAGTAAAAAGCAAAGCATGGTGGTTCATGTTTACAATCCCAGTGCTGGGAAAGCAGAAACAGGTAGATCCTTAAGGCTCACTGCTGCCCAGCCTTGGCTAATCAATGAGCCCCAGATCCTAGTGAAAGACCTTATCTCAAAACCCTGTCTTAAACTGGGTGTAGTGGCATATGCCTTTAATCTCAGTACTTGGGAGGCAGAGGCAGGAGGATCTCTGTGAGATCAAGGCCAGCCTGATCTACATAGTGAGTCCAGGCCAGCTGGGGCTACAGGGAGACCCTGTCTCAAACAGACAAAACAAAAACAAAACAAAACAAAACAAAACAAAAAACAAAAAACAAAAACCCAAACCTGTCTTGGAACCAGAGAGATGGCCCAGTGGTTAAGAGCACTGACTGCTCTTGCTGAGGACTAGGGTTCAGTTCCCGATACCCACATGGTGGTTAACAATCATCTGTAGCTCCAGTTTCAGGGGATCTGACCCTCTCTTCTGGCCTCTGCAGGCACTGCATGTGGTCTACTTACATTCATGCAGGCAAAACACTCACATAAAATAAAAATAAATAAATAAAATTATTTTTAAAAGCCTGGTTTGAGCATTGTAGAAGAAGGGGTAGAAAGACTCGGAGGCGGTGGATG